ATCACCTGAGTGGAAAAGGGTGGGATGAAGAGGAGGTAAGGAGCCCCACAGACGAAGCACCATCCAAGGTGCTCAGGGTCATCAAGAAACACTGAACAACTTCTTCCAGTGGAACCTCAGGTACCATCAAGTCATGGCAGGTGAGTAGACCCTGGTGCAGCAAGCTTAGGTGGGCAGGGAAAGCCAGTGACGGCACTGTGAGCGTAGACCTGCCACAAGTCCCTTTATCCCCTTTAGCTCAGTATATGTCCATCTGTCCATACCCTCAACTTCTCCACCTGCTAAAGAAGGTTATTAAACAGTAGAAGATAATCCTCCTATCCTGTTTTTTATGCTATGGGAGGTGTCAATATTTGGATATGACATAAAACTAAGTTCCTGCTTGCAGTCTATGAAGAGCCCATACAATTTTTACAAGAACATGGCCTTATGCACACACCATTTAAGACAGCTAGAGCCAAAAAGCAATAATGAATGTTTATTTTTTGCAAAAACATAACAATTTTCCAGTAAAACTGAAATCAATGTTTCTTATCCAGTACCTTTAGTACCCTGGTCCCATTGCTATAAAGAGTGCACTGGCACTAGCAGCAAAGAATGGGAAGGCAGAAGCCAATAAGCTTCATATGTGGCACCAATAGCATTACTTCCTGTACATGTAAGAAGTATCCACAGTAGGTAAATATCCACACAGTAAAAATTCACACTCCCATGTCTTCTTCTGCAGCATACTATGAAACCTAAGGTTCTGTGTAATATCTCCAACTGCTTCTTTCCAGGGTGAGAAATTCTCAGCATGCTAACTTGAAGTCCTAGCAGAATGTAATTTAGCTTCCAGAATAAGCTAAGAAGGTGCATTTTTTAAAACAAGTATAATAGGAACGCATATTTTTTACTTCTCATTTGGCTAAATCCAGACCCTGTGTAAGCTACACTGAATAAAATGGATTTCCATTCCTATCTTCTCTTCCAATTTGATCTTAGAAACAATTCCATGAAATGAAGTTCTTACCTGTATACCTAGCCAATGGCTGTTAGCAAAGAGTTCCTCCTTTCTGCTGACTACCCACTTGTTTTCTAATGTCTATCCATATCTTTCTGGGAGCTGAATCGTGCACTGTTTTCAGCTGACATTAAAACTAGTACAAATTAGTCTCAAAAACCTGACTCTGTAACTATTTATGAAATAAGCAGCCAAACAAACAAGAGTATCTGGCCAAGTATATGGCCAAACAAACCCTGGCCAGATACTGCTCCATAATCCAGTATTTTTTAAATTATTTTTGATTATTTCTAAATTACCAACAAATTTGCCTGGACTTGTACAAGAGGCAAATAAATGTGTGTGTGTCAGAAAGGTCAAATTAGCAGCTCCTAATCTATAAAGTGCTAAGAAATCAGAGTACTTTCAAGAAGTACAGGGACTGATTCTCAGGGTATAGTGACAGAGGTCTAAGGACTTTAAGGAACTATTCCAATTTACACCAGCTGAGAATCTGACCCAAGATAAACTACTGTTTTGCAGTGTTTTTTCCCTGAAATAGTCATGCTAGCTGCCAACGTTAAAACAGAAACAAAGGTCAGGTTCTTAACAACTACCCAAGAAAAACAGCGGGAGTAAAAGGATCAGTTAGATTACAAAGTTCGCTGAAATATAAGAACTGCATGCTCCACTATCATAAAAGTGGATGATATATTCAAGGATGGTCCTGCTTTGAGCAGGGGGATGGACTAGATGACCTCCTGAGGTCCATTCCAACTCTAATTTTCTATGATTCTATAAAAGAGCCTAAAAACAACTTTCCCATATGCTTCACATTGTAGAAACATAGAAATAAATCCATTCACAGATAAACTCCTTTTTAAGTCAATGGCACTGCAGGGTTTGGCCCAAATTCACGAGCAGATAGGTAACATCAGAAAAATGTACAATGTAATGCACACAGGTTGTATAAGCAACCAAAGATTTTAAAACAGAAAAAGGTATTACATTCATTAAATACTTCTAGGAACACAGGCACATCGGACTGAAAGGGACCAACTGCGTTACTGAGTCCAGTCTTTTGCTATTGTAGGCAACAATATATTAGTCCAAAAGAGTCAAAAAGAACATGCACTCTTGTATCTCCCATGCACCACTAACCACAAAATATTCCCTGACACACAGACTTATCATCTTTAGTAAAAAAATAATTAACAATCAATAGCCTCAAAAATTACACTGTGCCTCAGGGAGTTGGAGAGAAAAGAGTGGCACCAATGCTTTGAGCCCTTTACTTTGATTAGAGAAGGCATCAAGTGATATCATTATTGTGACCATCCTCTAACATGCTTGCTCCAAAAGAATCTCAAAGTTTGCTAGCCAACTGTAATATATAGGACTCACTTTATTCACAAGTTAATAATGTTAATAGCATACAGTAAACATCGCCATATTTCTGTCCCTCTTTTTTTCTCCAAGAACTACATACTTAACAACATTTTCATTTATCCATGCTGACAATATCAAGTTACAGAGAAAGGGAAATAAATGAAGGTATTTTCTCCCACTATGAATCTATTATATTCGTAATTTAATACTGAACAGAATATTATTTATTATGCAACAATCCAATGTTGCCACATTTATTGGTGAAAGTTAAAAAAGATCACAAGTGGAAAGTTTTCCAAATGTTTTCTTATTCAAAGATATTTGCGGGGGAGGGGGGGAGGTGATATCTTTTATTGGACCAACTGCATGTTTGGATGAGATTTTAGACCAGCTTTCTTCTCCCAGCCACAGGGTTGGTCCAGTAAAAGATATCTCCACCAAAGTATGTTGTAGGCATGATGGTCCAAGAATGCAAGAGGCAAGGATCACTCCAACACTTCTCTTATATATACAGCTTTTCCAGTGAGCATATATATTCTTTCTTGAAAGTTTTGTCAGCATCTCCTGACCTAATGTTATCTCCTGTTTTCACTTCACTGGCACTATGTTAAAGTTTCATTTTTTTCCTTAGTAAACTGAATTTATCACTATACAGGTTAAGCCACAAGCAGAAATAAAAATAAAATCACGACCTACAATAAAAGCATTCATTTGGCCACATTATTTCTTATCTGCTTGTGAATATTTATATTCTCTCTATAATATACCTTCATCCATAAACTTACTGCAAAGGAATAGAAACACTAAAGCATAATTCTGATTTTAAATATATTAAGCAGAATAAATAAAGTCACCTTTGAATTGCTTCATTAGCTTGAGGACAATGAATACCCACACAGCAATAACAATCCAACAGTTGGGCAGGTTTGTGAAATTCCATTCACTCATTCTATTTGGGTATCTTTTTGTTTTAAACAGATATTCACTCTCCTTTGAGTGGCTGCTACATATTTGCAGTCATGAGATGCAGAAGTTGCAGGCAGCTGTAGTGGGAGAGCCTGAATAGAGCATCTGTTGGAATGCCCATGTTCCTTTCCTGCCCTTCCTGTACTCACTGCCCAGCATTCTCTGGGGGAGGCTGCAAAAAGGAAAGTGGCATTTTGGCTGCCTTAATTCCTTCCAAACATCATCAATAACAGATTAGGAACCACTGCAGACACCAGGACTGGATCCTTCTCCTAGTGCTGCCTACCAGTAATTAATTGCTTAGATTTAGATAGCAATACAATGTACATATGGTTACATAAACCATGTTTTGGCTGGTAGTAATCTTGGTAACATCAGCACAAATCTAGAAGAAGCAATGGTGGATATAAAAAGCAAAGGGCAAAACTTTAATTGCTTGTCCCAGTGACTTGCATGTCTCAGAGAAGAACAAAAGTCCACTTGTAAGACCTATATCCCAAAGGCAAGAAAGGAGAGGCTAAAACAATGGATTTTAGTCCTTTAGACATACTTGCAGCTAATCCCCACAAATCTGATGCTACAACCAATTCTGACAAGAAGCCAGCTTCACACCAGATGCACATGCAAACAAAACTAAGAGTAAATATCATAGGGTGCCATCACTGACTCTGTCATCCTCTTCTAACTTGTAAGAAGATAGCTAAAAAAAGATCCGAGCCTAATACTGTGCATCAGAAATCTCAGAAAAGGAAGTCTTCATTGGATACAGCCTTAGATACGACCCTCTAAGACCCATGAACAATGGAACTGAGTAGGAATGCATCATGCAAAGGCTCTACAGTCCAGTCTTGTACTGACAACAGATTACCGTTTGTTCATGACAACCACTATGAGATCCTTACAGGTTCTCATAACATTTATTCCCCTTCTGAAGTGCCAGACATTAACTCATACAGTTAATGAAGGATCTGTTTGAAACTTTTAAGTGAATGTTCTTTATAAAAACAGTTTTTCTAGTAGTGACAACAGGAATGGGAGTAAATAACTTACAAGAACTTTGGGCTAAAAGGACGAATTAGTTTTACATTTGCCTCTTAAGTTTTTCCCTATTCTACTTGGGGAATTCTACATTAATCAAGCCAGAAACTTACTGTTATTCTCCAATTCTCATTTTCATAAAACAGAAACTAAATGAAATACTTTGTACATTAGAGCTGTGTCCAGACAAGCGCAGATGTGCAATATGTGGCACCGTAGGCCCATCTGCAGCATCACACACCGCACATGCAGGTGTTTCCTGTGCTGCTACCTTGCAGCGCAAGGGGCTTTTTTTTTCAGCATGGGTAAAAAAGCCCATGCTGAAAAAAAGCAGAGTGGCACATGAGGCGGCAGCGCGTGCTGCCCAAAACTGGAGCCTGGCTGGCTGGAGAGACACTCCAGCTGCTGGCCAGGCTTCCTGCCATGGCTGCAGCCCTGGGTGGCCCCCAGGAACATAGGCAAGGCTGCTGGGGACAGCATAGCTGCTGGCCCCAGCCTCCCCTACCCCACTCAGAGTAACCTGCCACACACAGAGCATGTGTGGCACAGGCGTTCGCCAGGGACAAGTAGCAGCGGCACAAATTGTGCCGCTGCTACTTGTCCCCAGGGATACGAACATCTGCACTCGTCTGGATGTGCCCTAAGAGGGCTTTCACTATTTAAACTTGCCTAATCTTAAAAATTAGCTGCCATCCTCATTCCATAAAGCAAAACATCCTATTCTACTAGAGCAGAGGCATCTTTGTTAGCTAGTCTCATATTTATTCCAGTCATGGGAATGTATAAAGTTGCTATTTTGAGTCCCATTCCATTTACACAGCAGAAATCACCATACCTTCTTCCAGAGGTATGCTCAATGTGATAATCATTTTTCACCTTGTCCTACCCTCTTTCCAGAGTCACTACATACCAATCTCTTATGAGTGAGAATATACAAAGGCCATGTGAAGGAGATACGAAGGTTACTTGGTCAGAAATGGAGTTCTTTGAGACAGGCTCTGCACACTCCATTCCTTGCACACCTTCCCCTCTCCCTCAAAATCGTAATTCAGTCTTCACCCTAAGGAAGCAAGAGGAAGGAACCGAGATGACTGCACTCCCCCCTTTATACCCTTTCCACAGCATTCAGAAATGAGTAGCTGATGGGCAAGAAGTGCATATGGGCTTTCTATTAGTTAGTCAGGTTCTGCCATATGAGCGACATATTGCTGATGTATGTCCTTAATATAAAATCCTTCTCAAAGAAATCCAATTACAGCAAGGTAACCTTAAATTTTCCCCTTATTGTTATAGGAAAGGTTGAGCAAACAAATTTTGAGCTTAGCTGGTAAATTCTGAAAGGTTATTATTTGTATAGCTTCTCATGAAGACTAAGACAAGAATCAAAAAATTATAAGAAAATGGCCCCTATGAAATAGTTTCTGTTATCTCAGAATTAATACAAATTTAATGCCACTTTTTTGGAATTCAGAGAAAACTTCAGTAAATGTTGTTCTGCAAAAGGAATCCTGCCCTGATAATAATTGGCATGTACAAACACTGATGATTTAATGTTCTATTCTTGCTTTTCTAGCAATTATAAGTTGCTTGAAAATTAAATTACAGTTAATATTTCTCCCCAGTGATGCTGGCAGACATGATGTGCAAATGCTTGCACAGCCCTGTTACAGGCTATAGTCCCAGAGGAGATGGGCTGGCAGCATTAAAATAATTAAACACAAATACGCAACTGGCCTCTTTTGTGCAAAACTAAACAGGCACAAAAACAAATTGCTCCACTCATACATTCACCACTGAACACTGGGAGAAATATTCATTTGCAAGAGCAATCAGCTGGCAGGATAATTCACTGGCTTTTATAAGTACTGTTTAACCACTTAATAGGAATACTTCATTAAACATCATTTTCATTTCTCTGATGGTTCATCATCTGTTTTGACCTTCTCTCTTTGGAACAACTGAAAAACTGATTTTGCCGTGCCATCCCCACTCTGTTGTGAAAAGCAAATGAAGGTAGCCCAGAGAAAGCCACAGAGTCCAGTGTAAGCTGTCCTCAGGTAAACAGGGACCAAGATGAAGTTTGACAGCTGTGTTTTGGAAAGAAAAAAATTTCAGTGAGTGCTCCAGGCAATGTTAGTCTCTGATCCTACTCACCTAAAATTTCCACTGACTTCCTACTGAAGATTAGGTGCACCAGAAATGATGAATCAGGATTCATGGTAAAGAAAGGTACTGAATTAACACTGAAACTCACCTGTACGAAAGGCCAGTACATCAGCCCAGTCTGAAATGAAAGTGATTTATTATTATTATACATTTCATACATGCATTTAATCTATAGGATAAGACAAGGAATAGAAAATACCTTAGAAAAGGTATTTTAATACCTTTAATAAAAGGGGGGGGCTGAATTAGAGATAAGGCTGTTCAAATTAAAGGTTGCCTTATTTAAAAGTACTTATCCCCTAGGTGCATCCCTAAACATTTCTAAGAGATAGCATTCTGACTAATTTTAAATGTTAAAATCTGAATACAGCCAGACTTTAGTCACATGACACCCGATATGTAAGTGCATTTACCAGATGGGTGAACAAATGCTTAAATGTATGAATGTTTATGTCATTTGTGCATGAAAAATGCCATTGAACTCTATATTTATTTCACACTTACAATATTCCTTCTATTTGCTCATATACTATAAAGCTATTTCTCAGAGCTGAAGTGATAAATTAATTAAGTCAGAGTAAGCAAAGCCAATAGAAGGGCACTGTTTAACAGTGCAATGGGTATTGTTTATAAGCAGGTTTTCTGTTTAAAAATCACAAATTCTCTGATTAAAATCCCAAAATCCGAGATCAAAATGAAATGCCATTATATATATAGGTATCAATTGAATACAATGTTTTACTGATATATTTACAATTTTAAAACAATTTGGAAGCCTACCAGTGCCTCAATTGCTATAACAAAATAATTTCTAAGTACCTATAAATTTTGGTACTTGATTTGGGATTTATCATGAAAAATCAGAGCTCCCTTGACTCACCAGGACGCAAGTCCAGGCCCGTCACCCCCCACCCACAGCCGCCCAGCCCTGATGGAGGAGGCCCCCAGCTGCCAGGGCTACAGGGCCAGGGCCCTGGGTCCACAGACCCCTGCCCCCCACAGCAGTGCCCAAGCCCCAGATGCCACCTGCGGGAGGCGGCAGCTGCTGCTGCAGCAAAACGGCTCCCCCTCCTCCATGGGTAGCATAGCCAAAGCGGAGCCCATGATGGCAGGGGCGGGGGTGGCTGCCTGCTGTGGACTCAGGCTCCTCACCTTGTTGCCCTCCCCTGGGGCCTCTGGGGCCCAGCAGGTAGGACCTGGTGCAGCAGGGCAGAGTGCAGCTGGGCAGGGAAACTCCTTGTCACTGCAAGTTCCATGCTGCCAGGGCAATGTGCCCCCTGCCCACCAGGCAGCAGTGAGGGGAACAGCTCCAAGCCACCACCCTCACTGCTGCTGGGCAGGCAGGGGGTGCATTGCCGTGGCAGTGTAGGGCTCGCAGCAGCAGCACCGAGCTTCCCCACTCTGCTCTGCCCTGCCATGCCAAGTTCCACCTGCCGGGCTGTGGGAGCCCTGGAGGGAGGGTAGCAGGGCAGGGAGCTAGACCCCACAGCAGGCAGCCTGCACCTGTCCCTGCCCCTGCCCCATGAACAAATCTGGAGGGCATGTGTCCCCTCTGTCCTGCCTGGAAATGCGCACCGCAAAGGGGAGCCAGCCCCTCCCCCTGCCCTCTGGACGAGCCACCCACGGCTCCGTCCCACTCCCCGCTGGGGCCATGCAGTCATGCATTCCAGCTCTGGGCCCCATGCACCACCCCAGCTGGGCAGCATCCCCAGCCCTGCCCAACTCCCTCTTCATTCCCTATGGGGGCCTCAGTCCCCACATCACCCCCAGACTTACCTGTGGGAGCTGCTGTCCAGGCAGCCTGGCAGCAATGTGCATGTGTGCACATGGTGTCCCTTGCCTGACCACCCTCCCATCACTCCCCCCAGCCCCTTGTAGACTGCAGCTCTGCCAGCCTGCAGAGAGCTCTCTGCAAAAGTGAAAAATCCATGTTTCTCTGTTAAAATGAAAAATCCATGTTTTACTCAGGTAAAAGGGAAAATACGTGGGGGTTTTTTCCATTTTTCCATGGAAAACAGGAAATCCAGATCCCTGTTTATAAGAATATGGGGCTTCTATAGCAAGGGTTTGCAAAGTTTCACCCCGTAAAGAGCTATTTCAAAGAGGCAGTCCTGGGTGGTGTGCTGCATCAAAAGAGCTGGCAGGGCACACTTGGTCTATCAGCCGCACTTTCGAGAACCCTTATTTTATAGTTAAAAAAAATGCTCCTTTTTCAATGCATGGCCCATGTGGCCCCATTAAGTGAGGAAAAATATACCTAGAATTGAATTGTTTCCCCTTGTACATCTAAATGGCAGTTTTCTAGCTTCATAAATGCCAAAAATGCCACTTACATACATGTAGTGAGTGTTTCCCTGTATTATGGACACACATGTGTGCATACATCGACTACACACACCTAACAGGCTCCACACTAGCTGGGTACACAGATGGTTACATGTGCGCACCCACTCTGGACACACATCTCCATCTAAATTGTGAAAACAGTCGGCCAGTCACTAGTAATAGCAGCCATCTTGCTAAGCCACGCACCATCCAGCTGTCTCATTCCTTCTGGCCCTACATACCTCCCTCTCTTGGCTGTCCAGAGGGCCAGCTTCAAAGAAGTACCAGGGTGGGGACTAGATAATGTCTAACCTGCAGTGTGGTGGTTAAAGTCCTATGCTAGGATGTCAAAGAGATACAGGTTCAAAAGTTCCTTCAGCTTCCTGGTGTATTTTTTGGAGAGGGGCACTCTTTCTTCCCCATCAACTGTCTGGGACTTACATTCAGGTACATGCATATATATCTGGCCAGTGTATACCACTACTGTGCATGTCTACACGCACATACTTATACATCCACACCGCAAAGTCAAAGCCTAAAACAGCCAAGTAGTTGGCTAGAAAACTGCCATATAGAGTCACAAAGGGAAACAGGATTCCACCTTTAATGTTGTGCTGCTCATCCTACTTTCTTCTGCTACTATATATTTTTTCAGGGGCTTGGAAAATCTTGAAAATTACTGGTTAGCTCAGTTTTACAATCTATCACTGTCACATACCTACCAATCTAGGAGATAGGCCTGCTGAAAGTCTTTGGGTTAGGGTCAGAGGAGAGACAGCAACAAGGGTGATGTTGTGGTGGGGGGCTGTTATAGACCACCAGACCAAGAGGATAAGGTGGATGAGGCTTTCTTCAAACAGCTAGCGGAAGTTTACTGATCACAGGCCTTGGTTCTCATGGGAGACATCAATCACCCTGACATCTGCTGGGAAGTCAATACAGCAGTGCACAGGCAATCCAGGAAGTTTTTGGAGAGCGTTGGGAACAACTTTCTTGTACAAGTGTTGGAGTGGCCAACTATGGGCCATGTTCTTCTTGACCTGCTGCTCACAAACAAAGAAGAATTGGTGGAGAATGTACTAGTAGATGGCAACTTGGGCAGCAGTGACCATGAGATGATTGAGTTCAGGATCCTGAAGAAAGGAAGGATGGAGAGCAGCAGAATAAGGACCCTGGACTTCAGAAAAGCAGACTTTGACTCACTCAGGGAATTCATGGGCAGGATCTCCGGGGAAGCCAGTCTGAGGGGGAGAGGAGTCCAGGAGAGCTGGCTGTACTTTAAAGAAGTCTTGCTGAGAATACAGGAACAAACCATCCCGATGTGCAGGAAGACCAGCAAGAATGGCAGAAGACCAGCTTGGCTTAGCAGGGAACTCTTCAGTAAACTATTTCACAAAAAGGAAGCTTATAAAAAGTGAAAACCTGGACAAACAACTAAGGAGGAGTATAAGAGTATAGTATTGCTCAGGCATGCAGGGATGAAGTCAGGAAGGCAAAAGTGCAATTGGATTTGCAGCTAGCAAGGGATGTGAAGGATAACAAGAAGGGTTTCTACAAGTATGTCAGTAACAGGAGGAAGATTAGGGGAAGTGTGGGTTCTCACTGAATGGGAGAGGCAAGTTTGCAACAGAGGATGCAGAAAAGGCTGAAGTGCACAATACCTTTTTCACCTCAGTCTTCACAGGCAAGGTCAGCTTCCAGACTACTGTACCTGTAAGCACAGTTTGGGGAGGAGGTGAGCAGACAACAGGAGCGAAAGAACAAGTTAGGGACTATTTAGAAAAGCTGGACATATACAAGTGGGGGCTGGACAGGATGCACCTGAGGGTGCCAAGGGAGTTGGCTGGTGTAATTGCAAAGCCACTGGCCGTCATCTTTAAAACTCATGGCAATCGCGAGAAGTCCCAGATAATTGGAAAGGAACAAACATATTGCCCATATTTAAGAAAGGGAAAAAAGGAGGATTCAGGGAACTACAGACTGGTCAGCCTCACCTCAGTCCCTGGAAAGATCATGGAGCAGATCCTCAAGGAATCCATTTCTAAGCACTTGGAGAAGATGATTACAAACAGTCAGCATGGATTCACCAAGGTCAAGTCATGCCTGACCAACCTGATTGCCTTCTGTGATGAGATGACTGGTTCTGTGGATGTGGTGTACATCCTTTTAGCAAAGCTTTTGATACAGTCTCCCACAACATGATTTTATGATAATAATAATTTCCTGTGATTCTACATACATAGAAAAATAAGCTAAAACTTGACATTTTTAGTCATCAAAGTCTTTTTAAAGGGAAGAATTATGTTTCTGTAAGTGAGAAATCTGTTAGCAAAGAATACAGACTACTAAACAAAGATGCCCTTAAAACAAATGTTCTGAACAGGTGTTCACATAAGCAGTGCCAAGTGTGTTAATAACTAAACATCTATATATGGCTACTTCTCAGGACCCTTGGGTGTAGCTATCTTTGTTACAGTGTGATGCTCTTGTTCACATATAGTCAGGTACTTTATTAAGGACATATATTTTACAACTTAAGGATGGAGTCAACTTGCCCATCTGGAGATAGTGACTATATCAGATCACCCGTATTTCAGAATTATTGTAGTCTTCCTGCAGAGAGTCCCAACACAAAAAGTTGAAAGAAGGAAAAATCATATCAAACAAACTTTGAAAAAGTTTTCTTCACATTGTGATTTAACTGTACCATTCACAAACACGCACGAGGGGGAGAGATGACAAGCATGAAGGGGAGAGACAACAAGCACAAGGGAGAAGGACTACAAGCATGAGGGGGATAGTTGTTTGTCAATGAGGTCATTACCTCACCTTATAAGTATTCCAGAATTTCTTTTTACAGTCTGAGAAAATGTCCTCTTTCCCCTGAAGTATACTCATACCTGGTAGCAAAATATTTAGGACAAGCAGAAAAATGGCAAATATGAAAACATTTTTTAAATTAATTTTATTTTTGCATTGTATCCCACTTGTTACCTTCTGGAAAAACGTCACATACCATTTTGAAAGCTAGAAAACAAACAAAAGCAAATATTTTCCACATGGCTGATTTATACTGCCCAATAACAATTCCTGATCTACTGACTCCTTTAATCCTATCAACAAAGTTCACTAGGCTGCATGTTCAGGGACTACAATATAATTTGCCCATGGTGCCAATGGTAGAAACTATGGAGTAGACAAGACTAGGCACTTTGTTCAGGGTTATATAACCAGGTGGTCAGAATGCCATTCATACACAGTACCTAGATTAGCTCCGAAGGTCTAACCCCTGCAGCAGTCACCATGCAACATAGTCTGGATGGTTTACATGAAGTGTAAAAGTTGTACTTACTGCAGGTTAACTTCTAGTTCAGCCAGAAGGGATGGCCATTGTTACACAAGTGGTTAGACTACCTAATAGTAATAATACCTTCTGATCTTAAAATCACAGACTAGATTACTATTGTATCCAGGGACTCTGAAGCTGCATAGCACAGCTCAGGATTGGCTCATAACAGAGATTTTCAGGCTGTGGTATACATAGTGTATTATGCACTGTAATTATGTGCTTCTGCAGTATAATTTACTACTGCACCTGGGTGCCTATCCTGTTACACTATACAGGTCTCCTATTACAGTGTTATTACAGCTTTATTTGTATAGTTTACTTGGTCCTTCTAATTGGAGGCATACTGTGAGATTTCCGTGTCCTGTGTAAGATTCCCAAAAGGCAGCACTCCCCCTGGCCTCTTAGCAGAGCAGCCCACATACAGTGCTGCACTAACATAGCCACACTGCTTCTAGTTCCAGGCAATATCCTAAGAGGCTTGCCAATTCCTCCAGCTTTGCCCCTAGTAACACACTGCCCTGTTAGTTACATCAGTTTCATCCCTCACATTATGGCTATGCTTCTAATCAAACCATTTTGTGCATTTATTTGTTCATACTGTGACACACAATAACATTTAATTTGAGCTTGGTCTTCCCTTCTTTTCCCTTCAAACATAAATTAAATTACTTCTTTTTTGGGGCCATAAAATAAGAATATCCTGCTACTGAGTTAAATGATTCTAATCATCTTGAGTCTGATCTCACGCTTACTTTAAATTAAATGAGAATTACATTTTACACTAGCCTGTTCTATCATCTTTTCTTAAATTATTCCCATCTCTATAACCATCCTACTCATTTTAAAGTCTTTTTTGCATTCATTAGCTTTTCTTAGGGTGACACAATATTGTCATCAGTTAATTGCAATTTGCCACCAAGGCGCTCCCTGGCGAGTGTCTACACATGCACCCCCATCAGAAGCAAATTGAGCCCAACAGGAGCAGCTCAGTCCAGGGCTGCTCCTGCCCTGCTCTGCCCCCCTACAGTGGCCAGGGGAGCTCCCCCAGGTGCCAGCCCTGGGCTGGCAGAGGGCACAGGGGCTTAGCCCCAAGCTCCAGAGGGTGGAGGAGGAAGAGCTGTCCTGGCTCGACAGGGAGCTCTGTCCCAGTCAGGGGAAGATCGGGCTAGCCCTAAGCTGGGGGCATGGGGGTGGGGACAGAGAGGCTTAAATTGCCTCCCAGCTATGTGGAGATTGGGACAAGTCCCATTTCCACGTGGCTGTGAGGTAGTGCCCCGCCTCCCCACCCTGTGATCCCCTGCTGCCTAGTCTGACCAGAAGCAATTTACTCCCAGTCAGCATCTACACGTATTCACAGGTACTAGGAAACAGCACATTAAACTAATATACTGTGAAGTAATTGCTGTGCACGTGTAGACAGTGATTCTTTACCGCACATTAGCTTAGTCTAATGCACAATAAGCCATCTCATGTAGATACATCCACTGTCCCACAAAGCTGTTAGTTGCTGTTAAGCAGCTGTTGTGAAGGAGGGGGCTGATACTATTTGGCAAGTGAAGTAAAAGATTCAGATTTGATTAGATAAAGTTTGTACAATGAATCTGTAAAGTGTTTTGTGTCATTTGGGATTAAGAAAAGGCTCTGAGGCTGATTCACAGCTGTCACAACACTTCTGCACTGGTGTAATTCTTTTTCAATCTGCAGCAGCAGAGGCAAAACACAAGCCATGCCACGATGGCTCTGGCCCACTAGATCAATAGCGAGTAATCAGCAGTTACAATTACATGAGTAATTACTCATGTTAGTATTCATTCTAAGAGCATCTATATGTTCATTAATGTGCAGGGGTTACTGTGCATTTAATTAAGTACTTGTATAATCAAGTCCATATTAAATGCACAGTTACCAGAGTTACTGAGCAGTAGCACCGGCGAATGCCTTTTAAGTGATGCTACTGTGCAGTAGCGTAATAATACTATGCAGTAGTGTATTAGCACTGTTTGTGCTGTGATGTGCTATTGCACAGTGTTAGGCTACTGCGCTGTTAGCATCTCATGCAGATGCGCCCAAAGATCCCCAAATTGCTTCCCAAGCCATGTGTAGAAGGCTGATGGTGAAATTCAGTGAGTGACAAGTGGCACATGGCATCCTGCAGACTCAGACCCTACAGAAACGTAGTCCCACTGATCCCACTGGGGCCCCTGGTAACAGGCAAGCAGCAAGCCAAGCTGGCATGCTCTTTCCCAACTGGATGTGACAAGTCATTTTGCACCTTCACAAAAGCAGAAGTGGCTGAAGCCCTGGCTCGGATGCTGGCAGAGCCGGCAGTGCCCAGAGCCTGCAGCAGAAGTGGCCAAAGCCCTGACCTGGGCTGTGCTAATCTATCCTTCTGGTAGGTTCAGACACTTTGATACTTACCTGGCAAGGGAAACACCATGTATCTGGGCCCACAAAGGCAGTTTTCTTTAAGCGTTCCCGGCTTCTGGCATGGCTTAGTACTTGCCAAGGTGTTGGGGCTTAAAGCCCACTTTATGGAAATGGGAGGCTCCTCCCCCGCTTGCTTCTGCAGCCATATGGCTGAGGGCAGGCAAAACTTGGGGGCATCCAAGCCTCCACGTAGGATGCCGGCCAAAAGACTTTGGAAATATCTGAAGCCCCAGGTGGTGGTGGAGGATGTTTGCCGGTTGTAGGGCCACATATGGTTCTGGATTGACTCATGGATTTGGACTTGATTTGGCTGGGAACACGAAACATTTCTTTAATTTTTTATTTAATTGGCAGAGCCAGCAGCGCCCAGAGCCCACGGCACAAGTGGCCAAAGCCATGGCCAAGGCACTGGGAGAGCCGGCGGTGCCCAGAGCCCAGGCGCAGGCAGGGCTCCTCGGGGAGGCTGGGGGAGAAGCGGGGCGCGGGGCCGCACTCACCCGTGTAGAAGGCCAGCACGGCCACGGGCGCGCCCAGCAGCTGGTCGCACAGCACCTTGGCCAGCACGGCGCGTGGCGCCC